TTTATATAGAGGTGAACATTTAGAAATAAATTTGTTGTGGTTATTGTTGTTATGTTGCGACATACTAGTTGCCTCCAACTTATGGTGATCCTGTCCTGCCCTCACCTGCTCCGCTCTTGTAAATGCTAGACTGTGACTTTCTTTAAAGATTGGTCCGGCTCATAGTTCATCTTCCCCTTCTTCTGTCTTCAACTTTCCCTAACATTGTTGTCTTCTCCAGTAAGTTTTGCTTCTCATGATGTGGCTGAAATACAACAGCTTCAGTGTAGTCATTTTAGCCTCCAGGAAAATGTCCTGGCTTGATTTGATATAAGACCTGCCTTGTCTCTCTGTCAGTCCAGAGTATTTACAAAGTTCTCCTCCTGCACCATGATCCGAATACATCCATTTAAATCCCATCAGCTTTCTTTGCTGTATGCACTTATACATAATAATGAGCAGTGTGTGGATGTTCTGGGCCTTGATCTCCAGTGAAACATCCTTACACTTGATTTTTTAATCCATTTCTGCCTTTGCAAGTCTTGGTTTTCTTGTTATTTCTTGTCTGCAGTCTCTGTTCAAGTTGATGACTGAGCCAAAGTATGCAAAATCTTTCACGATTTCAATTTCTTTCCTGCTAACCTTAAAGCGTTGTAATTTTTCTCTATTCATGATTTTCATTTTCTTGATGTTCAGGTGCAGTCCTGCTTTTGCAATTTCTTCTTTCACTTCCACCAAGTTTGTTTCAATGCGTTGCTGCTTTTCACTGGTAGGACTATAATATAACTTGCCAAAATAGGAAAGAATTAGACCAGGCAACTGGCATGACTAGGCTACTGGATCTGCTGTCTAGATGCAACATGTTGATGGACAACTTCAACACCCTTTTGCTCTTCCTTCTGATGGTTCCTTATCTTCAAGCCCAGCTTGGACCATACAACCTTCCAAATACAGCAGAAGTGTAAGATCTCAGTCCTATGAGGCCAGTTCAGCTTCCGTGGAGAGGTCTCCACACTCTCTTTCCCTAACCTCATTGTCAGACTAATACAACAGTGGAACCAGCTGCCAGCTGTCTCTCACACTACAGGCATTCATAAAGAAACTGGACAACCATCTGAGTGGGATGGTGTAAACTGGTGTCCTGCAATGGCAGGGGGTTGGACCCAATGACCTTCATGGTCCCTTCCAACTCTACTATTCTATGGCCTATAGCCTGCCTGGAGAAGATCATCATCTCCCATGATGAATGTATTCATGTAGCTGTATTTTCCTCTTAACTCAGGCCATTTACATAGTTGTGGTTGGATCTGTGTAGTGAAACTTCATGAGTCATGTGTTCATTACTCTGCAGAGCATCACATATCATTCATACACTACTGTTGATCTCTTGAGTCTTTGTTGTTGTTCAAGTTTTATTTTGTATTTATGTAATTTTAAATTAATAGTCACTCTCCTGGCATGATACAGATTATAAGGCAGACTTGACCCATCCCAGTACCTGCGAGATGGGCAGAACAACAAGTCCCATAATCCCCGATCAGTCATGCTAACTGCAGCTTCTAGAGTTGTAATCTGAAATAATTGGAAGGAGCCAAGCTTAGGAAAGTTGTTTGAAACTGTCAGAGTCTAAGAAGTAAGCCTCCAGATGCAGAGATGCATTCAATCTAAGGAGAAGGCAGACGGAGCATATGGTGATTGTCATCCTCATTGTGAGGAAGGAAAACAAATGGTCAGTAAAATGGTAAAGAAATAATGCTAAATCTTTGTTTAGCATTGTGTGCATGAGTCTGTTCCCCTCCCTTCCTTCGATGTACTTGTGAGCGAACCAGGAGCATCTAATTCTGCTTCAACTAAATGCAGCTTGTTGCTACCAGTTGCTGGGAGACGCCAGCAGGAGGTGCTGTTGCATTCAAGTCCTGCTTCTAGGTTTCCCGTGGGGCAGGGGTCGGCAACCTTTAACACTCAAAGAGCCATTTGGATCTGTTTCCCACACAAAAGAAAACACCAGGAGTTGCAAAACCCTTTTGTCATCTAAAATGAAGATAACACTGCATATGTTGTTTTTTACCTTAATACTATGTATATCTTCATTATGATTTAGCTGCAGCTCTTGTTCAATCACTAAAAACTGTTATTTCTAATCTTACATTATAAACTAGTAGGACTCCTTTTGTATATTTTGAATAGGAGAACAGCTTCCTGCAGAGTCAAAGTCAGTGCTAAAGGGCTGCATGCATTAAACAGCAAACCCCATAAGTTCGTCAGCAGTGAAAGCAAATGAATCTACCCATGTACCATTAAACGTTCGGTTTTCTTCAGAAACTTTTCTTTGATTTATCCACGGTTGGCCTACCGAGGGGGGAGGGGCGGGGGGCTCAGTAAATCAGCTTGTCCTGAAAACAGTCAAGTGCTGTGAATTGTGTCAGGTCCCAAGCACAGCTTTTAACATTCAGATGAAGGAGATTACATTGGGACAAAGAGAATCTTTCCAGCAGTAGCATGAGAGCCTGCAGGAAGCTTGTTTAGCAGAGGAATGTGGCGATTTACTTAACTAGCTGATTCACTTAACTAGCCAGTGCTGCCTTCCTGAGTGGAGCTTCCAGCAGATCGGCGGCTGTGCCGGCGCGACAGACAGTTTTGAGCGATGGAGCCGCAGCAGAGGGTTCAAGAGCCACATGTGGCTCCGGAGCCATGGGTTGCTGGCCCCTGCCATGGGGCATTTGGTTTGGGGCAAGATAGGCTTTGGTCTGATTCAGCATATCTTTGCATATTTTTACACACTTTTCCAAGCAGGGAGCCGCAATTAGTTCTAACTATGATTTATCAAAACGAGCTAGGATGATTAGCCATGATTTGAAGTTGGCTTGTTTTACAAAACCATAGCTAAAATTAATAACAAGTTCCCACTTCAGACAAAATGGGCAAACTACAGGTGGTTAAAAATGGAAATGAATATTTCTAGTCTCTTCCTCACAACTGTATGGACTGTCGTACAGAGACGGCTCATTCGTGTAGTATTACACTGTAGTTTAGTGTTACATCTAAACACAACCAGTTTGGAGTTTCTGTGTGTAATCTACTGATATAGGTTATGGAACTGTTACTGTATGGTACTGGTCATCCCAACCTTTTTCTTGAAATGAATGTAATGGTTTGAAAGGGAGGCCTCTTGCTTTCTGCCTGGAGACTTGTAAAGGCTGGCCTATCTAATCTGCAGCATTGCCAACTGAGGTGGTAAACCTTTGGCTGGGCATTTTCTTTCTAGATCCTATCCTAGCCAGTTCTCTGACATGCTAGATGCGTAGATTTGTTTTGAAAGGAATACTTTTTTCATATGAGTGCTCCCCCCGCCCACTTGTAGTCTGAGGTGGTACAGCCCAGACAGGGGTTTACTACCCTAACCTTTCTCCCAGGTCTGGTTCCAGAGGCATTTTCTGCCACGCACTTGGGCCTGGGACCCCAGAAAAGGATGGGCTATGCACCTCCCCTTTCACCCACTGTCTCTCTGCTGTAGATCAGCCCAAGGCAGGGGGACTCCTCGGGGGAAAAGTTAGTTGAAAACGACCAATGGATGTGTTAGCCTTTGTCCTGGATTCTGTCCCATGAGCCATCATCAGTCTTTTTGGCACTTTTAATTTAATGTATAGGAATCCAATTAATCTTCCAAACAACCCATGTTTTCCAGGAGGAACCGCAAACCTTGTCATAAATGCTTAACCTGGCAATGAAGATGGCTTTGAGTTCGGTGTGTCCACATCTCTTAGAATGCATTTTTTCCTTTATGCCCAACTATGCAATTAATGACCTCATGTGTAAGAAAATGACAGCGTATGGTCATAATGTGGCAAAAATGCACAGCAAAGCAAAGTCTTTGCAAATGGATGTGGGTTTGCAAATTATAGCAATGTGACCGATTCCATCTTGCAAAGAGACAGTCTGGGTTGCACAATGCCTCTGAGTACTGAAGCAGATGCCCATCTCCCGGAGAAGGAGGAAGACTCCTGAGAGCACAGCAGGACCTTATGGGTGCCCCACGACCATTTGCAGAGCAGTGGGATCTCTCCTTATTTCAGACATGCAAAGCATCAGATCTGGGGCTCTTCCGGTCCTAAGCCCCAGCCAGCCCCAGCTCTGCATCCCAACCTTTGCCCAACTTTTGTGCAAGTTCCCACTACCACTAGAATGCAAGCCCAAGAGCTTCTCGGAAAACAAACTTGGCTTTGGACTGAGAGATGCCCACTCAGTGCCTGAATTATAGTGCTCCTACTAATCTGTGGTGGAGTAGTCTTTGCCCACAAAAGGGCCCAGCTTTAATCCCTACATCTCAAGTTAAATTGATTAAACAGCAGGGGATGGGATTCTCAATGGAGAGCTGCTGCCAGTCGGAGTAAGCAATATTGGGCTAGATCTGACTTAGGATGAGCCAGTTTCTTATGTCTTTTACAAGACCTGCAGACATCTTTACCCTTCTTGCCAGCCCCCTTAGCTATTGTTTTTAGAAAGGTACAAGGTTGGTCAGGACGGATTTAAAATGAGAAAGGGGTTGCCAAGGTGAAATATGGATTTCATGAAAGAACTCCTACATGGAGGTTTTAGAGCCGGTGTAAATGAATCGAGGGAAAGTCGTACTTTTTCGTCTGAAGGGCCAGAGCACGGGGTCTTTTACTACCTAGGGCTGCCCTTGAATTGGCATGTTCCCCCATTTAAGGCACCTCCCCGAACACGAGTGTTTAATAAGCACGCTTCCCCCAAATCCTTTCCTTGGCTCATAAGTGAACACGCATCAGGACACCTCGCCCCGGCCAAGCGCGCGCGTTCATCGGGTTTGGGTTGCGTCTACTCGTGGCGAAACTGCTGTCCACGCCTCTCTGAAGCGAGATGAGTGAGGGGTGGGGAGGCTGGGGGAGGAGATCGGCCTCTTTTTCTTCGTCGTCGTCTTTTTTTTACTAGGTCAGAAGTTTCTCAGCAGCTGCCAGGAGGTTCCCCCTCCGACTCCCCTGCGCTTCTGCACAGAGAAGAAAGAACGACCGCGTCTGCAGCCCCGCAGAAGGGCAACTGCCCCGCCACCCCCATTGCCGAGGGTGGGAATCAGGCCCTGCGGCCCCCGTCCCGTCCCTGGATCAAAAGGAGTCGCTGGAGGTTCAGCGAAAGGAGCCGGAGAAGCGGCGAGCGGAGCCGCGCGTTCCATTTGCAGGCGCCTTCGAAGGGGCGGGCAGAGACGCGGCTGCTTCGCCTGGAGATGAGACTAGCCAGACCCTGAGAGGGCGACCACCGGCGCCTCGGGGCGGGGAGCGGGGTCGCAGTCGTCCTCTGTTTGTGTGCTGCTTTCCTTTTGCGTAAGGAGGCGACGCCTGGGCACCAGTCGAGAAACCGGGGGAGAAGGGGGCGCCTCCTCCTGGTGTCTGGACGGCTCTTCGCTTCGTCCTCCTCGGGATACTTCAAACGCCGTCGCGGAAACCGCAGGCTTTTCTGATCTCAATTAGACCTTCCGCCACCGCCTGTGCCTGTGGACAGGCGGCGCTTTCCGCCCGCAGTCCGCCCCCTGCCCAAAAGCCCCCGGGTCGGCCCAGCCTGCGCGCCAGGAGAGACCCTGCTGGCCCGATCCGGCTGCTGCCCATCTCTTCACGTGCGCCTCCGAGCTCGCCTCCTCGAGCGATCCCGCTCGGCTCCGCTTCTTAGTCACCTTTCCCGTCAGCAGAGCTGCCTGCCTGACCTCTTTCCATTTAAAAGCGAGTGTGCCCGTGGCTCGCTTCCTCCAGGAGCAACCAGCCTCCATCACAGCATCTTCCTCCCGCACCGTCGCATGCCAGAGGCCCGCAGGTGAGAAGAGGACGCCCAGCGGTATTCTCCCTCTCCCCGAAGCCCTCCGTAGCCCACCCCCCCGCGATGATGAGGACCCGCTTTCCCGGCTCGCTGCTCTGCCTGCTGGCGTGGCTGCTGTGCTCCCATACTCCTGCCCCGTCTGAGGCACAGTCAGTGCTGACCGACCATGAAATCGAGGAGTTCTTGAAGGGCTTCCTAGGAGAGGTTGACGAGGAGGATGCAGACGGGCAGGAGGCTGAGAAAGTGGCCTTGGGTGAGGAGCTTCCTGGAAGGCAAGGGCGGCTGGACCCCGTGGAAAAGGAGAGCACCCCTGTGGAAGTGGACGAAGGTGAGCGCCCTCGTGTGTGGGTGTCGAGCGGGCCCTAGCACTGGGGAACAGGAGGAACAGTGCCGTGGTCTTCGTGTGAGGAGATGTTATTGGGGAGGCGAGGTGCTAGGACGCGGCTTATGCCAAGCTCATCTGGCCCACTGTTGCCCTTTCAAGGCAGGGTTATTTCCAAGCCAAACCCAGAGTGACTGGTCACTCCCATCTCCATCTTAGAAGAATCACCTGGCCTAGGAAGGTTCTGCTCCTGTTCTTTAGGTTAGCTGCTGTTGGACCTTTCCCATCCTGACATGAAGAGCCCACAGAGAGGAAAATGACTTCCAGAAGGGGTGGCCCTGTCAGGTGTCCTCTGCAGCATCACAGAACAAAATCCTGGCACCAAAAGAGGCTTGTGGATATAGGTTTATTGTGGCATAAGCTTTCCCGAACAAGAGCCAGTTATTCTCAAGTAGGCAGGCAAACACGCTGAACCCATAGAGCAATGGGATCAATGACTACACATGTCAGGTTTATAGAAAAGTCCCGTGTAAAGTTTAATGTGGCCTGAGTGACCAATCGCAACTGCAGTAATTGATTATAGTGCTGCTTTTGCGGTCATGTTGCTTATTCCAAGCTTTTGCCTGCTCTCACTTGCTCTCTTTGTATATCCATTAATTCTCGTGTATTCCTGCCAACTGAAGATAAAACTTTATTCAGCTGATGAAGGGGATGTGAGCCTGTGAAACTAGGCATGAAAATGCTAATATTTATTGTATAACAGTAGCAGAAAGGCAAGGAAATGGTAACCAGGAAAGTTGTGTCCAGTTCTTTCAGCCACACATGCTTAAGCTGAATTGCAGCCAAATAGTGCAGTCCTATCATGTCTACTCAAAAGTAAGCCCTATTGCCTTCACTGGGATTTACTGCAAGGTAAGTAAATATAGAAGTGCAGCCTTGGTTGCAGTAGGGCAGCCTTCTTCTGATGCTGTTTAGATGTGTTGGACTACAACTCCCATCATCCCAGTGGTCCATCATCTCTGAAAGGCACAAGGTTGTAGAAAGCTAAAGTCAAGGCATAGGGATTAAAGTGCCTCAAACTAGTACAGGGGGAAGCAATCTGTGTCAATTCTCATCATTTTATATTTCTTTAAGGTACAAGCTATACAAGTTTAGACAGGAAAATGTTGGGAGTTCTTTTGACTAAACTTGCGTAGGATTGCACCTAGGTTTGCTTTATATTCTGTCCTTCCTCAGAGAGAGCCCAGGGTAGTAAATTTAGTGCAGAAATTGCAATATATCACAAGTGTAACATCACAAAAATAAATAAAAGAAAAGCTTCAATAATATCAGCCAATCAATCAAAAACCAAATAGAGCACCTGCCTATATAATCAACGCCTGCACAGACAAATGGGTCTTTAACTGATATGTGATCATCTCCCATAACTAGCCATGTGGATTAGGGCTGATGGGAGCTGTAGTCCAAAACCCTCTGGAGGGCCATCCCCTGCCCTTGGAGTTAGGGTGGCAAGACGTGAAAGAGGACAGGGGTCCTGAACTTTTTAATCATCATAAAGAAGGGTGGATTTTAGCAGGTGTCAACTTCTGACATTCCTTCTTTGATGCCAGAGGTGGGCAGAAGGTATGTTTGGAACTTAAGTACCAGGAATCCCTAATTATTGGTCATGCTGGCAGGGGTTTGGGAGTCAAAGTCCAAAACAGCTGGAGATCTGCCTGCTGCCAAGCCCTGTCCACACAGCTATTAAGGGTGCAAGGAAGGGGTGTTATGGCACCATGGGGCCCTTTGCTAGCCTTATCCAAGAAGGCTGACCACTTGAGAGGACACCACAGGCTAATCGCAGATCCTGAGGCATTGGGAGGCTGGCTGTAGAATTGCAAAATGGCCACTTTCTCCCTCCCCTGCTGATCTGATGGAGGGGGGGAGCCAAACCCATGCCAAACCCTTTCTATGGTTCAATGAGCCATTGTGGTTTTGCAGGCCAATTGACTAAATGCCATTTTTGGAGGGAAAAGCTGGGGGCTGTGTTTCTTTGCTTCCACACTCAGTCTTTGACTTCCTCACAGGCAGCTCTGTTGCAAGTCTTATCATGGTTGTGGTATTTTTTAAAATCTTCCGCTCCAAGTAATATTGCCAAATTTCCCCAGCCATCTTGCAAGTCTCCCAGATAAGCAGAGACTTGGCAGGTGAAGCCATCACTGTGTGACTTCGCCTGTTGAATTTTCTACTCGTCACATGGCTGTTAATGGCATAAGAATCTCACTGGGCAGCTGGGTGAGAATATTTCATGAGGTGGGTTACTCCCAGAAAAATGTACTGTTCCTTCATTTATGTGTGCAAATACGTATGTGTGCACAGGCCTGGTTCACACATGAGGAGAAGCTACTGTGAGTGAATTTCTTTGTGGGGCCTCTGATCATGGTGGAAGCTGTCATGTTAAACACTTGGGGCAAATGGAGGCAAGCCACAGCTTCTTGTTATATAAAGTGGGCATGGGTTGTTGAAGTGGCTGACAAGCCACCATGAACTATTTTAGGGTTGTGGGTAGCTTGTTTATCCATCCCAGTAACAACAACCTCATCAGCTTCACACCTAATGACAAGCTACTGTGAACCCCTATCACACTCCAAATATTGAAAATGACAGCTGTTCCCATGAGAAATCTACAGAGAAAATCACACCCAGTGGCTTCCTGTTTTGTGAAAACCATGTCAGATGAGAGTATTAAAGCTACCTGTATTATATGTACTCTTTGAGACATTACTTTTAAATTTTCTGTTTGGAAAATAGAAACAGCGTGAGTCAGAAGGGGTCTCCCAGGCCATCTAGTCTGAACCCCTGACTCCAGCCGGCTCCACTCATGACATGCCTACCATGTGCATGTCCAGCCTATCCTTAAACTCCCTCACCGATGCGGCTTCAACCACCTCCCATGGAAGCCCATTCTACACCCTTGGGGTCCTAACTGTCAGGAAGTACTTCCTGGCATCCAAATCGAACCTTGTTTCCCTGAGCTTTGCTCTGTTGGAGCACCTCCTGCTCTCCTCTGCAGTGGAAAACAGGTCTCTACCCACCTCCATGTGACACCCCCTCACGTACCTATATGTTGCCAACAGGTCCCCTTGGGGTCTCCTCTTCTCCAGGCTGAAGAGACCCAGGCCCTCAGTCTCATCTCATATGGCTTTCCCAGCAATCCGGCCACCATCCTTGTGGCCCTACGCTGCACTGACTCTAGCCTGGCTATATCCTTCCTGTAATGAGGGGCCCAGAACTGAACACAATACTCCAGTTGCAGATGCACCAGAGCCGTATAGAGTGGCAGTAATACCTCTCTTGATCTAGAAGCCACACTTCTGGCTATGCAACTAAGGGTGGCGTTCGCCCTCTTGACCACTGCGTCTCACTGCTGACTCATGTTTAGCCTGAAGTTGATCAGTACCCTGAGATCCCTTTCACAAGTGCTGCTCTCCAGCCACTTGTCCCCTAACCTGTACTTAGGACACCCATTCCTATTCCTCAAGTGCAAGACCTTGCATTATCCACATTGAACAGCACCCCGTTGTCCCCTGCCTAGTTCTGTAGTCTGTCCAGATCCTTCTGGATCCAGAGTACCTGCTCCTCAGTTGTGGTCATCGCCTCCATTTTAGTGTCATCTGCAAATTTGATCAGCACACTGGTCACCCCCTCCTCCAGGTCATTGGTGAAAAGTCTGAGCAGGATCAGTCCCAGGAGAGAGCCCTGGGAGACCCTGCTCATCACTGGCCACCATCATGATGATTCCCCACTAATACAGTAGAAGTAATACATTAGAAGAAAGGTCTTTGCTCACTACAGCTCTTATCGTCACCAACTTGCTGGAACTCAAGACAGTAAACACAGTGTCTCCAGGGAGTGTCTCATGCAGAAAACCAGCTTAGAACTAACAAGACTGCTTCATCAGGTGATGCCCTGAGAGTTTATAAGGAAAATCCATGCCCATTTTAGCTGGAAGAAAGAGACCGTGTGATGTGCATCCCAAAGCAGGCTTCCAGGTGCACAGCTGAAGTTTGCAGCTATACATTTGGACTCCTTGAACTGGACTTCTGGGTTCCTGGATGCAAGTTGTTGCATGCCCTACATTGTGTGCAATTACAATGGGAGCAGGGCCCTTTGGTAGGCAGGCTGATTAAAGACTGATTAAACATTGAAGTCCAGGAAACCCCAACATATTTTTAATATCCTTGGGGTAGTTCAAGGCATGCATGTGTAGTGCTGCAAGAAGTTGTTGCATAAAAGTTGGATCTGCAGGAATGACAAATGTAATTGTTTGCATTACCTGGATGAGATACCTGGTTATTACATGTATAGCCCATATTTCCTCCAAGAAGTTAAGGATTATGTCTGTGATTCTCTCTCTCTCTCTCCCTCTCTCTCCCCCCCCCCTCTCTCTCTCTCACACACACACACACACCATGTGAGCTAAGAGCTAGTCACTGGTCTGAGGTTACCTGCTGAGTTTTGTAGCAGGGATTTGAACTTGGGTCTCTGCAGTATCATTAGTTAATAGCATTTGAATGTCTTAAGGAGCAATCGCATGAAGGTTTAGACACAGAAAAGGCCTGCAACTCCCAGCATGCCCCCAGCTGCAGAAAATGAGTTCAGGTGACTTACAACCAAATTATTAAAACATATGCAAAAGCTAAAAGAAGTAATTTTCATTAAAAACCAAAATATAATAAAGTATCTGCAACTTCAGTACAGAATGGAAACTCATTGTGTGCCTTCAAATATCTGGGAATGAAAGGAAGTTGTTCCCAAGCGGGTGTCCCTGGGAAGAATGTTCCACTTGAAGGAACACCACTGAAAAGGCAGTCCTGCTCCAGCCCCGTCTAAACTGGTCCAGGTGTTTTGACACAGCTCTCTGAAGCACCAGTTGCTGTGGCCCATGGTCGAGGATTATGGGAGCTGCAGTCAAACCAGGGGAGGGCGTCATGCCTTCCTCTGATCTAACTGCTTTACCCGACTACATTGGCTATTATTAGCACAACGCCGGGCTGCACAGTGGGGCTCTTTGCTCAGCTTTTCTCTGGACCACTCAGCCTTGATGCTGCTCTCTGTACAGAGCAATAATTTGTCAGAGGATGTGTGCATTGGCTTCCTGAAGCATGTTGGCAACAGAACAGACGCTTACGCCATAGTTCTGACATGACAATGTGCATATCCCCCCTGCTCCTACTTACTCAGAGATGTCTTGCTGGAAACAATCAGTGTTTCTGAGAAAGCTTTCTAGAACATTTCCAAACACAATACAATGCCAGGTCGCTTCTTTCAGGGCCCAAAAATGAAACATTCTAGATGTGTTCATGGAACTTTTCCATCCTGAGTGCCTTTTTTCCAAGGCTGTCTTGGTTCGACCCCCTTATTTATCATTCTTACACTGGTCTTAAAGTGTTGTGAGTTACATAAACAGAGCCAGACCCGATCAGACTAAAGGCCTGTCTAGTCCAGCATTTTATTCACACAGTAACCAAAGAACTGCCCCTGGGAATCCCAAAAGAGGGGGATGTGTGCAATAGCACTCTCTTATTTATGTTCTTCAGTAACTGGCATAAGAGGCAACCTGCCTCCGCTGCTGGAGGCGGCATGTAGCACCCATGGCTAGCAGCCACAGATAGCCGTCTCTTCCAGGAATACAGCCTGCCCTGTGCCCGACCAGGAGTAAGCCATCATCTTGCAGCTCAGCCCACTCTGCAAGGGCTTGTAAACTAGGTTAACGATCGCTGCACAGACCTTGGAAAATAACAACCAGACTTCTGTAAGCTGGCATGTAATGACACTGCCTGGTGAGCAACAGAGAAAACATTTGTGTATTCAGCCTGGATTTACATGGTGTGGTGCCAACACATGTCTACATGAATGCTGACATTTGTACGTGCCACTTAGAAAGCTGGGTGGGTGCCTCCACTGCTTTGTTCCGTTCAAATTTCTGTCCTCTTCCATCCTTCAGAATGTGATTTGGCTCATGGCATGCCCTCCACGAAATTTGATTGATTTGAAGCTTAGCTACAATAATGTTTTGAAGAACCCCGTCTTGTTCAAGTCTCTTGTTAGTTTCTGGACTGGCTACAGTGGTGGGTGGGATTGTGAATGACTGTTCCTGTGAAAATGAGCAGGTATATATCAGAAAAGGAGAGTTTAGGACATCTGCTGGGGAGCATGGACAAGCCTGCTGTTGCTCCGGACTTGTAGTCTTTAAATAGAAAGCTGAGCATGCAAGCTGCAGTCCTAGACCTGCCTTCCTGAAGTTAGTGGGGCTTCCCTTGTGGTAGACAGTTAAAGCATTGCAATGGTCCTTACGTTATACAAGGAAACACATAAGATTCAATAACTGCTGTATGTCATCTACACTGGCAAGTTGGACGTCAGTGTTCTGACCTGACCCTGGAAGGACCAAAGCAGACATCCCTTTGAATCGGTGCCTTGCTATGACATCTTTTCGAAATGCCATTTTGCTTCACAGTCAGGTGCAAGGCAGAGAGAGGATTCCGGATTAGGTGCCCTGCAAGGTGGGCAAGTAAAGAAAGAAAAGAAGAGGCAGCTGTTAGACACATATGAAAGTGAGGCCTGTTTTGGTCCCAGGCGGCAAGGCCAAAGCATGAGAAGGCTGCCCAAGAGAAGTGGAAGAAGCGGCTCCGCTTTTGCAGTGCTGCAGTTACGTGCAGCTGGACTGGCCTGAGCTGCTTCTGGGCAAGCAACTGGGGCACACGCTGCTCACACCCCTTGTCACCTGTCGTGACTGCAGGTGGGCTCAGAATCAGCAGAAGGAGCGGGGCCAGCCCTGTTGTGGAGCAGAGTGATGCGGCTGCCTCAGGCAGCAGATACTGGGAAGCGGGGAGCAGGCGGCTGACTCCCCTCTGTTCTCCCTGCACTGCTTAGCCGGCTTGCTGCCCAGGAACGGTTAAGTTTTGGTCCTGATGCCATTCTGGATTCAGTGGCCCCTTTGGCCAGATTCTATAGGTGGAATGAGCGGTGCAGGGGCTTAAGATGCTGGATGTGCCAATAGGAGTGGCCAACACTCCAGCTCTTCAAGCTGAGCACTGCGTAATGGAGCACTTTCCCGTCATTCGCCTCTAGCTTCTTGCTACCCAGCAGTTGGAAAGCATGTAGCTAAATGGGTACCACTCCGGCGGGAAAAGCTGGCTGCATGAAGAGAGTGAGCGCCAGTGCTGGACCTGCTTGGACACGAGGTGAGGCATGATCAGCAAAAGAACCCCGATGAGCCAACAAGCCAAATGTCAGCTGGTTTGCATGTATGTGGAGCTAGGTCACCCCCTTGCGGTGCACACTGGGTACGTGTGTGAGTGCAAACAGATCAAACTAGCAATTGCAGGCAGCCAAATATCTGCTCTATATTAGCATTGTAGACTCCTGGCTAATGGTTCCGTCCTCATATACTAAGTAAGTAAATAAATAAATATAGGTGGAATGGAAGGGTGGTCAGGTGAAGTATTGGTGATTGTATTACATGATGAAGGATAGTTCTCTGCCTTGAAAGGCTGGGCAGTTGTCCCTTTAAAGGTGTCCTCTGTGCAAAGGGCTGTCCGGTTCAAGTCTGAGTTAAAGTTGGAGACATCAGGAAGGCAAAGCAGGGACCTTGAAGATGCCCACCCACAGTTAGCATGGGGACAGCAGGCTAGGCCAGAGCACAGATCACCTGACAATCTTTTCTACTGTGATGAGATGCCCTGTATTTCTATTTAAATTATAGCTGCTGTTTCTAAATTTGAACATCTGTGTATCCTTCTGCATCTGCAAAAACCATGCGAAATGATGTTTGTGGGTGATGTGTCACTGTCCTGAGGATGCAGACTTGTTAATTGCCTCAGGCAGTGGAATGTCTTGGACTCTGGCTGGCAAATGCAGAGGGAAAGGCCTAACATTCTGTTGCATTCCAGCCAGAATAGCTTGTTAGTGGTCTGATAAGAAAGAGAGCAATCGGAAGGAGGTTGTCACTCCCTCTTTCCAGAAGGTTCTTGCTCCCTCTTTGTGCTTCAGCTTTGACTACTGCTTGTAGTGAAGCTCATGGTGGAGCAGGGATGTGTGCCTCTCACCCTGGGTCAGGGCAGCTCCGCATGTCCCACGCCAGTTTGCTGCTTTCCCAGGAATGAGCAACAGCCCCAGAGGGAGCTGGGAAAGAATTCAGTTCCTGGCACAAATGCTTGCCTGGTTTTCAGCTCCTTGCCCAGCAGTAGGCCAGGCCCAGGCACCACAAGCTGGAGCTGAGCTCTGGTCTGCACTGCTCTGCTCTGCTCACTCCCCCACAGACCATGGAAAAGCTGCTGCTCAGAACTTTGGAATGAGGCTGTGGCTGTCTGTGCAGCAGCAAAGGACACAGCCCTTGCTCACTCGCCTCCTCTTGGAGACGGGGCCTCTGACTCACTGAGCACGGTCCTCTGTCCACGATTCCCAAACTTTGTGTGATGCAGGAAAGAGACCAGAAAGAAATGCTTTCAGGAAACCGAATGTGGGGTCCTGGACAAGACAAGCCCCGGTGCTGGGTCACAGGCCGTCTCAGCACAGCGGGGGTGGCTATTTGTGGACTGGCTTGAAAGAGGAAAGGCATCACCCGATAAGAGCATGGTGGTCAGCACAAAATTTGCACAGGTGTGGGGCTGGACGTTTACATCTGGACATGTGTGAATCTAGAAGCAATTATAATTTAATAATACACTACTTGGGAAACTAGGACTGGGTGAATTTTGTCTCTTCCTTTTCAGGTTAAGCCCCCAAGCCCAAAAGCTCTTGATAGGCAGAGGTCCTCTTTTTGCCTTTGTCTGTAAATTGGAATTGGACAAGGCAGGCCTTCAAACAGAGGCCACTCTGGACTAGAGGACAGTCTTTGCATGTCCATCAACGGAGAACAGCCCTCTGTAGAAGAGGACACATGGCCCTAACTCAGTGCTGTATTAGATGGATGGATAGAATGCCCGTTCCAGGTTTTTGAGGTGAGGTGTTCATGAACGCCCACCGTCTTTTCTCCCGATGTCGCTCTCCATTTGCTCAATTTGCCCTTTCCCAGGGGGAAAGGATGGGTTATGTTTACATTCAATTAGGGCAGAAGAGACTGAACATATTCCTTTCCCCACAGGAGCGCAACAAAAAGGGAAAGAGAAGCCCAGGAAAGGAAAAAAGGAGAAAACGCCCAAACCAACCAAGAAGCCTAAGGAACGACCACCCAAGGACCCCAAGAAGCAAAAGCCCCCCAAGCCCACGAAAAAGCCAAAGGAGAAACGGCCAAAGGCAACCAAGAAGCCAAAGGTGAAATCTCCCAAAGCCACCAAAAAACCATCAGGTGGAAAGAAAACAGAGAGACCGCCTCCCCCCATCCAACCTTATGAAGAAGAGGAGAGGTACCACTTTCCAGAAAGGCCATTGGAGCCACCCCCTGCCAGAGAGGAAGATGGCTATGGGGTACCCGACTCATCCCGATTTGACTCTCCCTATGGGGGAGAGGATGAGCGGTCCAGAGTAAACGAGGAAGGAGGCGTATGTAAGTTCCTGCTCATCATTATTATCAGTCAAAACACGGGGCCTCCTGCATGCACAGTACACGGCACCCACCCTCTTTCCTTGCTACCTTTCCTACATCTCTTGCATTCTCATGCTGGCACCTTCTTGACAGGACCCCTGCTAGAGCAAGAAATCTGTACAGAAAATTGCTTTAGCATCTCTTCCATCTCTACCCATCTCCCCTAGGTTGGTGGCTTTCAGGTGTTCTGGACTACAGTTCCCAGGATTCCTGACCCTTGGGCATGCTGAATGGGGTTGATGGGAGGGCACCAGATTGTGGGAGGTCTCAGATGAAAATTGTCAGCTAAATGGCCAGTTTTCTTGATTTGTAATCACACACATGACAATGAGTGTGGCTCATTGTCTGTGTGTGCTCAGCTTAACCTCTGTATGGAACCTTAGCATAAACCCATGTGGGCTTCCTGTCATGTGAAAGACATGAAGGCTTCCACAGTTATGCTTATGTGGCTTCCATTTATAGCCATCCAGATGTTTTGGCCTATAACTCCCATCAGCCCTAGGGGAAATGGGAGTTGTAGGTCAGAACATCTGGTAGGTCTCAAGTCGCTAAGCAGAGCTTAAGCTAGCTGTACGGATATCAGGATACTGGGTACAATCCTGCTGGTGCTTGTCCTTCCCCAGGGACTTGTACCTAGAAAATTCTACTATGAAAGAGTTGGAATTCTGTAATATCCTGAGAATTATGAGAGACTTGTGGCATCCGCGCTACAAAATATGTCTTTTCCCTACAGTTGTCAGACCTCCATATAAACCTATTTCTGATGTTTTTGGGTTTTAGGAAGGGATTCAAAGGAGCAGTTACTATTTCCTGGAAGGCACATGTAACGACTGTTCTAATGAGGTCATCAAATGAAGGGAGAGGCGCATGATTTTGGAAAAGAACAAGGAGATAAAGAGTGGGTTGGTGCAAGAGGAGCGAGAACTTGCTGTGGAGGGGAAGTGCCAGAGGGGGATGCTGAGGGAGAAGTAGAAAAGGAAGAGCAAAATACTATTTTGTGTTGCTTGATTCCTTAAATTATTGTTTCAAATTGCATTTACACCAGTTTAATATAGTAAGGCAGTCTCCAGGAGGTGGATCTGGGATCTGCATATCCCAGAGTGCCCTAAAGCAGGGCTGGCTAACAATTGGCCCATAGACCACGTCCAGCTCCCCACCGTATGCACGCTCCCTGCTCTCTACAAATCTGCTGTGGAGACCATCTGTGGTTTGCCACTGGATTTTGGTAGCATCTGCGGTAGTGTCCTAAACAGGCCAAATTGGCATTAAACCAGGGTGCAGACCCAGGAGCTTCCAGTGTGCCCCATCCTGTCTTAAAGCAATGCTGTTTCAGAGGCTTCACCAAAAGTTAGAATGGGAGCAGCACTGTGATCCAGCAGTTGGTGGAGTGCTTGGAAATAGATTGTTTAGAGGAGAGCCCAAGGCGGGCTTTGCTGAGCAATGGCAGCTCCCAGAGGGTGCCAAGCTGGAGAGCAGGACGCTGGCAAGAGGAGGAAAATGGAGCACGGGTGAGGATAGCAAGGCTTGAAATAGCTGTTAGGTTGGGAGCCTCCATGCTGTTTCATAGGTGCTTGCAGCATAGAAATGCATAGGGACTGCCTGCTGTTTATCCCACACTGGACAACTCGAAGCTGCATGGAGTGTAGTTGAGTCATTTCTGGGGTTGAAATGACTACGGGCTATGAGGCACTCATTGTTACTGTCTGCTAATTACTTGGTTATATTCACTCCCTTTATACAACAAATGCCATTTCTGTACGAGTCATATCTATACCTCTTTTACCAATATTTTAGAGTGGTATGCCTGGTATGTGCTTTTATGGGGCACACCAGCAAGTAGCTGTGTTTCTTTTCCCTTTTTAGATACACAGATCTTCTGCCAAAGAAGAAGCTAAGCTTCGCAATAATTTTTCCAGCATTCCCCAGCCAAATGCGGAATTTCTTCTGTCTAAACATGCTTAGGATTGTGCCTTTAATCTTGCACATATTATTCACTTTTGTAGGATTTTTTCCTGCCAAAACATGCATAGGATTGTACCTTTAGTCATGCGGATGTTACTGCTTTTTGCAGAATTTTTTCTGCCTAAACACGGTTAGAACTGTGCCCTTGAATCATGCAAATGTTACAGACCCATGTTCCTTACACTTCAGCAGAATCATTGCAGCCTTCCTGGCATTGCTCTTTACCATCTATTTCTGCCTCTAAATGTTTTTGTAGAATTGAAAAGTAGGCTTGAAAAGACTGCCTTCCTAGGCTGATCTTTAAGAATGTTTGTCTTGACTTTAAATATGAGCTGGTTGAGGGTTTCACTCTCTCTTCTTTTTTAGCAACAAAACCTTGCTGTCACTTGAAGCAATGGGTTAACTGCTCCCCTAGCCTTGCTGGCTTCCTGGGACCCAGTGTAACTGGGTGTCCTGCAATGGCAGGAGGTTGGAACGGATGGCCTTCATGGCCCCTTCCAGCTCGACTATTCCATTATTCTATGATTCTTCTTCTGCCTTTGACTTTTCCTAGTATTGTCTTCTCCAGTGAGTCTTGCCTTCATGTGTCCAGAGTATGACAGCCTCATTTAGGTATTTAACAAAGAAGAGAATATCACTGGCACCTGTGAAGGCTTTTCCCCATTTTGAAAATCCCTGTTCCAGGGTGAGGTGGAGCAGAATTTCAGGAAGAAAATGGAAGCAGGTTTAATCTTCCTCTTCTGGTGTGCCCTGGCCCCAGTCAGAATCCATTAAATCAAAACAAACAAACAAACAACCCCCCGACACACACATTATCAGGTTCAGCTACACAATCAATACAACATGCAGTTTGACCAAAAAAGCCTTGCCCAAAGAGATTTCTTTCTCCTGGCTCCTTCAGTAATAAAACGAACTGGTTCCCCCTGCTTTTAACACTGTATTTTATTTAATAGTCAGTTCTTCTGACTTCCCTGTCCTATTTCACCTCCACAACTGCTGGGTCTTTGCTGACTCATGACTGACTCCAGCTGTTTCTTCGCAGCTCTGTTCCCAGAGGAGCCGCTGGAACCCAGATGGGATGAAAAACACAGCCCAACAAGGCATCAGAGTAAGAGCAAGCAGATCAGGGCAAGGGGGTTGTGTGTGCAGGGGGAGGCTCCTGATGGGTGGTCATGCGCAAGTCAGACATGGTGGGGCTAAGCATAAAAGCATCCTCTCAGCACATGCACATAGGTCAGGAAGCCACATGAAACAGACTAATCCCACTGGGGAGGAGACAGAATGAGCCCTGGTTGCACTTGAATGGGATACAGATGCTTTCATGCAGGAGCAGAATATGAGTGAGTTACAAAGTACTGTACAGATAGAAACAGAAGTCTTTCTCCACGGGGCATGTCACCTGCAACTACCCCTGCCAATTCTCTTTAATTTTCTTTTTCCTAGCTGACATCTATGAATCCCCAACAGAGCCACGGGAGCCCAGAAAAGAAGATGGAAGCCACAAAAGCCAGCCAGGTAACCAGAAGCTTGTGTCCCATGTTGGCTATTTGCCTGGATAGCTTGTTATCCTGAATTTACAGCCCTCACTAACAGGGACAGATTAAAGGATACAGGCCCCCCTCCCTTACTGAACAAAATTCTCAGGATGTCCAATCATAAATCACACATAGACTGGTGTGAATGCATGTACATGTCAGAGCATGCCTGCCAGCCACCTGTAAACATTTCAGCCCTCTGAAGGCATCCGCAATAGTCCGATATTATTCTGCTCTTAATGATGAGTCGATCTCCGCTACTTGAATGTTCTCTACAGAGTGTGAGTCGGTCATGTCTTTGAACATCTGCACAAACAACCAGCTTGCTTGCTGCATCGTCCAAGGGCTGCCTGGTCAACATTGTTCCCCAGCCTGCGTGGGGGGTGAGGGTCAAAGATCAAGCCTGTGCCCCAGAGGTGGGCCATCTGGGATACTAATGCAGCCTCCCCGGTTTACACAGATGGCCATGCCACTTTCCTCTGGGATCCCTCCCTTTGAGCTTTTACACATTTTTTCCAACCCCAAATCACGAACTGTCACTTCCAAAGCTTTGCCATGGGCAGGAAGAGTTTTACCCTCAAACACCCAGCTTTTTTGTCTTGACCCCTTGGCCTTTGTCTCTTGTGCCTTCACTCCACCCACCGCTGCAAGGTTTTCTTTTCTGAAACTGATTTGCCACTGGCTGAAAAAAATTGCAGCGGACCTCTGTTTTTCTTAAGAGTTTGCAAATACACTGTTGTGTTCCCAAGTGCACAGAAAAGAAATTAAATTTGACAATCTATTACATATGCAGGTGGCATTTCCTCAGTAGCTGGAAATCATACTGCATCGATAGCAGAAAGAGTGCTGGCCTAGGGACCACGGACACAAGATGTTTTGCCACGAAGGCTTCCTCTGAGCCAGGGGAAGGACTGAGAGCAAATGAGTGGGGGAGCAAGCCACAGAAAGCTGCAGAGCACCCAACTGGTTTTGGGTTAGTGAATGAACAATGACTCAGGATGTCTTAGCATGTGAACTCCCCTGGTATCTAGTCCAGGTGGGCCAAGTCTGTCTTTCTGGAGTGCCAGAACACCTCCTTTTCCAGGGGACACACCAACCTGTTTTCTTGGTAGCGCACATGCAGTTTAGGTCTGGAGTGGGGAACGTGTGACCCTGCAGATTCTGTGGGACCGCAGCTCCCACCAGCCCTAGCCAGCACAGCCAATAGTGAGGGATGCTGGGAAGTGCTGTCCAATGGAATCTGGAATGATACGCATTCCCCCTCCCCCTGGCTAAGGTGAATGAAAATGATTCAATATGAGATGTTTCTTGCTCTCCAAGCCCCTGTACTGGCCTTTCTGAAGGACCCAGCACCCTCCAGATGAATGGACCCAAGTCCCCTTGTCCCAGCTAGCTGGGGATGAAAAGCATTTTTTTAAAGAAATTTTATTAAAATTTTAAACTAATACTAAAAACATGAATCATCTTATACATCGGATTTACTGGGTCAACCCCTACTACATATTTTTAACATTCTATAGTCATAGTCAAATCAGTTTATAATAACTTGAAAACATCTCTAAATTTATGCCAAGTCCCATTTCTCCAGCCAATCATAGAAAAAAATCCAACTTTGATAGAAGTCAGTGTCTTCTTTCTCCTTCAATGATAAAGTCAATCTATCCATTTCTGTGCAGTCCAGAATCTTTCTTAAAATCAGTTCATCGGTGGGTAATTCCTCACTCTTCCAGTATTGAGCAAGTGCAATCCTCGCCGCTGTGATTAAATGTAACATCAAATACATTTCCTGTCTGTTAATATCTTCCGGTATGATGCCTAACAAGAAAACTTCAGGTTTAAAAGCAAAGGGTTTTTGTAGTATTTCCTCCAGCCATTGATGTATTTTAATCCAATACTTTTTCACATTATCACAGGTCCACCACATATGATAAAAAGTACCCACTTTATGTTTACATTTCCAGCATCTATTTGGAAACATCTTAGCTAATCGACTTGGCGACAAATCGCATCTATAGAACATTTTATATGGGATGAAAAGCATTGAAGACCACCAGGAAGATACTGGGCTGGGGAAGTCTGCCCTGCGCACGGACAGCCCCGGCTCAGGAAGTGACGGCACTTCTTCTTTTTCTCTAGAGACCCCTGAAGAGGTGGAGCCGCCTACGATGGATTACAACGATCAGATTGAGCGGGAGGACTACGAGGACTGTATGTTGTCGTTGCTGAAGCTGACTTACTCTACCTACATGTAGTAACCACTGCTCTGCTGGGGCGGGGGGTGGCCATTTCCTGGAGCTGGAGCTGCAGAAGCACAAGGGTCCATGGCTCAAGGGCAACTGATTCTTCATTCCTCCATGTCCATGGCTGTTGGTCGGATGTCACACTTCCCCCATCCTCTGTGCCAGGGGATATTACCTTGGCAAGCTCAGGGCTGAGTGCGGATGTGCTCCATGATTCTATGCAAGGGCAGAACTTGCTGTCGGGCTTGGAATTTCACACTCTGGGTATCTCAGTCTGTTGCAAATGGAAGTTTCTAGCCCTCGTGGCTGTAATGTCAGGCATGAAGGAAAGCCTGCTAATTTTCTTGGTACCTGAACAAGGTGAGGTGGGGGGCTTAACATTTCCAGGGATCCAGAAGAATGGGATTCTGCCCGTGAGAGTGCTCTTTCGGATCACAGGCAGAACCCATCATGAAAGATGCAGAATCAGCATCATGCAGGTCTGCAGAATCTGTTTTCCCTCAGCTTTCCATAGTACAGGATTTTGTGTTTGGGGTTGGCGAGGCTGCACTTAATATTGAGGGCTCTCAGCTCAGAGGTGGAGCAATCATTTTGCCTGCAGAAGAACTCGGGCTTAATATCCAGATGGGGCTGGAAAGGACTCCTATCTGAGACCCTGAAGAGTTATTGCCAGTCAGTATGGATAGGGGTGCAGGAAGGGGAGAGGACACCTGGCCCTCCAGATGTGATTGGACAGCAGCTAGGGCCACATCTGCCTCACTCCTGCTGGACGCCTTTCTGAGCTGGGTGAATCAATGGTTTAATCCAGTATAAAGCCATGCTCTTTGCTGCTGGCTCACCTGGGGATCTTCTCTGCAAGTTGCTACCTAGATTGCATAGCCTGCCTCAGGATGGCAAGGGAGCCAATGGAGTTAACTCTTCACCGTACCTGCTCTACCTGTCCCCTCTGGGGTGGGAAGGCACACCTTGGGTCTGGAGGCAGAGCTGGCAACTTCTGCTGTTGGGAATGAATTGGATGATTTGCTTGCCACAAGCAGGGGGCTGCCATAGAATTGATGCAAAGAGCTGTATGCCACAGGCTAGAAGGCTCTGATTCGTTTCATAATACAGTCCCTTTGCCCAACTTTATGATCCTGCGACTCAGATATTTCATCCTATTTCCATGCTGTCTAATCTGCTCCTTGCTTCTGTCCCATCTCTGTGGAACAGACAAGGTAGTCCTTGACGGTGCCTTCATCCTCAGTCCTTCTGAATGTGGGGAGTATTTCAATAATTGACACCCAGCAAGGATGGCTGGTAGTACGTGTGTTCAGCTCTGGAAAAAAGAAGAAAGCACTATAGTGTCTGTGCTTTTCAGGTCATGCATTATGAGCATACAGGCTGTGAGCAGAACACACGGTCCATTTCCTGCTCTCCACCTAGACGGAGGCTGGCTAGACATGTGGTCAGCACAGCCACATTTCCAGTTTCAAAGCAAGAGAATAGCGCTTTTTAAAAATTGATTCTTCCATGCCAATTCCACAACTTCTAGCTCAGCATTTCTGCTTGGATATTGCCATGGAGACAGGACTTACTCAGCATGTCAGGTGAAATTATAATGCCCTTGGACGAGTTCTCCTGGAAAATGGAAAAGACATATCCATAGCTCAGCATAAACCGTGCTTTTGTTGATAAAAGCATTTATTTACTGACCATAATAGGGATTCTGACGGTTCCTGAAACACAGGAAAGCTGCTTCTTCCCGGTCGGACCACTGGTGGTGTATTGAATGGCCATGGCTCTCCATGGTCTTCCACATCACTGGAGGTGTCAGGGATTGAACCCGGAACCTTTTGGAAGCAAAGCATGTTCTGCCACTGCGCTAACACTTTCTCTATTTCCACCTGATTTCCCTAATTCTTCTCACTGGACACTGGTTGTCAAAATGTCAAAACTCGGCAAAGGTGGATGGTTGAAGTGCTTAACAAACTACCCAGCAACCCTGCAATAGACTCTGGGTTCTGCATGGCTTGTTAACCATGCCCAACAAGAGTAATTAAGGAAACAAGCCAGCATGTGAGTGGAATGCACAGGTATGTTTAACAAGCCAACATAGTTTCATATGCAGAATCCACATATTGTTACGAGCTACAAAAAAGGGCAACCCTGCCTATTTAACCGGGGAGCAGATCTTTGATGTTTTTGGACTTCAGTTTCTACAATTCCAGACCATGCTGGCTGGGAGCTGGTAGAAGATGGAGTCCAGGAACTTCAGGAGGTCTACAGCTTTCCTCAGTCCTGTACTAATAGAATGATAAAGATAAAAAGCATCTTAGAGGTCTTCTGCAAACCTCTGGTTGATGGCCACCCAGAACCCCTGATGGATGGCTGTCCAGCTTCTGCTTAAAGAATTCAAGTGAAGGGCAGCTCAGCACCTCCAAGGCAACCTGTTCCCCTGTCCAGCAGTTCCTCCCATTAAGATAATTTCCCTGAAGTTTAGCAAAAGTCTGCTTCCTTGTGATTCCATCCCCTTGCATGGCAGAAATTTAGGAGGTGCAGCTTTTCTCACCCCTGCACGACATCTTCTGCACCACCATTCTAACTGGGCAGTTCTTTGCATTTGGTCATCCACAGGATTGAAAGAGAAAGTAGTCCAGATGCATAGAATAATTTAACTAGAGCCCTCCTGCTGCAGGTGAGGCTTAAAGGCAGGTCCTAGCTCTGATATGCTTGAAGGCTGCTGCTGCTGCGAACCATTTGGCACATTTTTAAGTGCTGCAGAAATGACTGATATAATGATGAAGCTGGTTGCCTGGACCTGCCATAGCTTTGTGCAAAAATTCGCAAGAGGAAACAGCCCAGATGCGTCTCCTCCACCAAGCCTACCCCTCATTTCCCTTGCATGTGCTCCAGCTCTTTTTTGGCCCCCGCAATGGAAAATGCCCAGCATTTCTTCTGAATAATGCTTCCCAGATGGAGCGCAAGATGGAGCCAAAGCAAACAGAGATGCCTTGCATGAGAACCCCAACCTGAGGCTCTCCTCCTCAGCCAGGTGGTCATTTTGCTTGTTTGTCTCCTATGTGCCAGGGCTTTGTTGGGGGCTGATTTAAGGAGCTACAGGAGGCCAGGGAGCTTCCTTCCATCTACTAAGAATCTGGACAATCAGGACCTTGTTTTCTCACCTCCAATCATTAATATTTTTGTTGTTAGGCTTTATTTCATTTTTGTACATTCTCTCACATCTCCAGAATAATCTGGACAAAGCAGTTCCTAATAATACCGGAGGAGAGTTTGTAGGGTTAAAAAGGCAGCCATTGCAGAGCTGGATTCAGAATGATCTCCGTCACTGACAGGGATGCAGTAGAACAGCCTCTGACAGCGGGGCACCTTCCAGGTGTGTGTGACTACAACTCCCACCAACCCCAGGATGGCTGGGCATGATTGGTGCTGTAGCCAAACTCATCCAGAAGCCACCCGCCTGGGAAAAGGCTATTAGAAAACCTCTGGATTTCTCCCAGCTTCCTTCCCATTGGTGCCCAGCTGCTGCTGCTACTTCTTCCTCTTTGCCCCCACTTCCCCCCAGTGACTGCCTTATTCTTGATACTTTTTCTTCCAAAGTCATGCCACTCAAATATACCGCATTTCTGGACTCCCTCACACTTAGGCGTTCTGCTCCAGTGCTGGTCCACGGGAAATGTCCTGCTGGTCCACGGGGGCTGCATCCTGCTCGCTGGAGACTGGCTCAGGGCTGACAGGGCTCCACCACCTCTTCCTCGGTTGGCATCACATTTGCAGGGGGTGTGTTGGTCCTGCCAGGGGGACCAGGGAAGGGAGAGGCGGCTCAGTGGGAGCCACGTGGCCCTGATTTCAGTATTTTGTTTTGACATCAGGCAAAGACTTTTTATTTTCCCAATTTCTTAACAGTTAATTGGTTTTATCCTTCTTTTTATCATTATTTATCAGATGCAGTGTGTGGTGGTGGTGGTCTGATTTGTTTTTTGCTTTGTTTTTTGCAAGCTGTCCAGGGGCATTTAATTCTGGGATGGCATATAAAAACTTAAACAAACAAATAAACAAAATAGATTAGAAACCATCAAATGGCCACAACTCAGTAACTGGAGAAAGACACTCCTAGGATGAACCTCTTTCAGGGTGACACAGAGTTTAAAAAGTGCCATTTCCTCCTATCTCCTTATGCACATCCAGGTCTTTCCTCTACATGACAAAATCTTTCTTCCACCTACAGTTGACTACATGAGACGCCGGGACAAACCCAAGAAACCACCAAGCAGGAAGAAACCTGAGAGACCCAGCCTGGAGACTGAGAAGCCAAGTATGCAGTTTGTTTCGTTTGGCTCAGTTACATTCTGACAGGATATTGGAAAGCAGAGGGAGACTAGGAGGCGGGAGAAAAGAAATGGAAACAGCCCAAGATCGTAATGGTAGAAGGTGGCTAGATGACTTGAAGCTTCACGCTGGGAAATCCCTTTCTCTTGTGTGCGTTCGAGGTGTGCCTCCTGCCAGAGCTGCGGCATTTCAAATTCGGTGTTGAGATATCCAAGTTTTCCTAGCCTTTTATGTCAAAATAGCATATTAGTCTTCCCTTCTCTAGTTCTTAGGAAAGGATGGAAGCTCAGTGGTAGAGTCCATGGTTTGCATGCCAAAGTTCCCATGTTTGATCCGTGATTTCTCCAGGTAGACTTGGAAGGGATATTGTGCAGTGGTCTAATGATAAGCTTTGAAGTACAGAGGAGAATCCAAAAATACAGGCAGCTGCATTGATGCTTCTCTGTATGTGTGTATGTGCAAGCACTCCACTCCGCAAAGAGCAGCAGTACAGAGAGCCATAACCAATTTCTTAGGATCAGCTGACAGTCATATGGCAGTGAGCTGGCAAAGGGCACTGTGGTAGCTAAAATTCTGGGCTTTGGCTGGAGAGATTGCAAGAGAAAGGGGAAAAGGATGCAGGGATACAACATCCTTGCAACAACATAAGGCCACCAGCTGAAGAGTTTCCAAAAGTGTATTTTCCCAGAACTTGAGAGAAGTATTTTATTTCATACATGACAAGTCAGGTCTAGCAGTTTTCCATCTCCAACTGGCAGACATCTTTTATAAAATGCAAGCTTCCCCAAAGACTTTTCATTACAACATTCCGTTGTTTCTGAGGAAATCCATTTCCTCTGCGCCCAGCCACTGTGAGGACCTCACCTAAACTCAGAAGGAACGGGGAGTCCTGAGAGAGGTGGCAGGGTGATTCATCATCCTGATGAATCAAGAAGCCCCGGAGCTTGGATCCTGTGAACTGCAGTTCCAGTACACCACTGATCCTCTCTGAAGCCCTGGAGAGCCATTGCAGTGTTAAAAATACTGAGCTACATGGACCAGTGGCCCAACTCAACATAAGAAGTTAAGCAAATATGCTTTACTTTTCGTATTTTTTCTATAGGCTAGGATACTTTGTGTGTTTTTCCTCAGACATGTGGAATTATAATTTCAAAGTGCCAGGCCCATAAATAACTTTTATACAGTGTGGTGTAATTTAGGAGCAGCAGTTTAGTGCCAGCAGTTTTGACTGGGTTATGCACATGGATTACTTCTGCCCAGATTGCACAATGCACAGAATGTCTGTCTTGGAAGATCACAGTGAGAGAGGAGAGGAGAGGAGAGGAGAGGAGAGGAGAGGAGAGGAGAGGAGAGGAGAGGAGACCTTCATGGATGAGGCCTGCTTAGACAGGCATGTTTGCTCACAGACATTCTAACTGTGCAGGAAAACATTTTCTTTTTCTTAACTTTGCATTTTTGTATGAGTTAATTATTGTCTCTTTTTTAAGTAAGAGTACAGGTGAAAGAAGACAAGCTATTGCAGTAGTGTCAATTAACCAAAGAAAAAGTATTTTGCCTGGAAAAACAAGTCTTCAGATCATGATAGAAAACAAGATTTTCAGCATTAAGGACATGAGGAGTAGCTTTGTCAGTTCCAGACAAAGATAGGGCTTTGGATTAGTACAGTGAAGTATTTGAGCATTCGTGTGTCTGAAATCAGGGAAAACCTGGTATCAGAACTAACCTGATATCATGCTAGGCATGGGAATGTTTTGTATTGTTAGGCAGTTTCCCACATAATGCCCCTTTGTCTTCTAATTTGCTTTGCTTCTGGGGTAGCCACCAGGCATGGATGTCGAGAACTTTTCCTCTGAAGACTTGCTCAGAGATTTTACTCTCCTTAAGGCTCTTATTTAATGCTGGAAGGGAGTTGGCTCCATCTCAGTGAAGCCCCTCTCTGCTTTGTTGTCTCACTACACTTTATATTCATTTCTATTGCTATTCTGCCTCTTTCACCTTGAGATACTCCCACGATGCTTCAAGTGGGCACGCTGAGAATTCACATGTGCTTGTTTGAAGAAATGGGCAAGCGTTTGTGAAATCCCCTTTTTTTCCAGTTCTGATTCAGAGTCTGAGGTAATATCCTTGGACCACTGTATTTTGGACCTGTGATGCAGATAGGTAATTTGAGGCACTGGATGTAATGACCTTACAGGGGCCAGGCAAGACATATTACTGCTATTGTTCTTGTTGTTATTCTATGCTAGTCTGGTAAGGAATCCAAGGCAGCTTGCACAGTTCTCCTCCGCTTCAAGATGAAGTAAGAAAGCCCTGCTGCATTTTGGGGCCCTCCTTCTGAGTGGGGACCTGGATGTCGACCCCAAGTCCCTCCTTGATAGCATTGCAGTGCTGCTTTCCCATCATTCAGGGTCTAACTGGCATTGCTTTTTCACTCTGCAGAGATCCCTGAGGAACCACCAACTCCACCCTTTGAAAGCCATTATGAAGAAGGGATCGATCTTCCAGATTATGGGGATCGTAAGTATCTTCTCATGTCCTTCTCTGCAAAAGACTATCAGAGGAAGAATCTGCTTGGAAAAGCCGCTTAGGTCAGGTGTGCAGAGCCTCAACACTCGTTCCCCTGGCATCACAGTCTCGCTCCCTGTGGTTCCCCAGAAGTCCTTTCCCCCCAGCTTGGCTTGGTGGTTTTCCAGCTTTTCTGTAGTCCCCCTCCCCCACTTTTCCCCCCCATACAGTTGAAATGTCTCTCCTAAGACTTAGTTACTGGACAGATTACAACTAAAAATGTCATTGTTGTTGGTGTTACATAACCAGCAACCACAGGAAGCCTTGGGATTGTGGAGAGGGAAAATCAAACTTCCCCCACACAGGTCCCATCAGAACCAGTATTTGACATTTAAGAGAAGCTTCTATTGGCACCAGTGAAGGCTTCCTTTGAAATACAATAGTAGGTCCATAGAAGTGAATGCTGCTGGGACCGTTGAAAGGGAATACTATTGACATGGTTAAAAAAAGTAAAAGTTAGTTGCATTCATGCAATTCAGGTCATAATTAATTTGACCAAGAAAATGAATGGAGGGAGCAGCCTCAGGGTAATTGACTTCTGTAGTGAAGATAAATGAGCAGGCCAAAATAAATGATTGCAGGTCATTTGTTGGTTTGTTCCCACTTGTCTTCTGGGGGATGCAAGGCAGCATACACAGGGCTCCAGAGTTGTTCCTCCACCCAGCCATTGGTTGAATCCAGACCTGCTTCACTTTACAGTGTCTGGGATATCTAAACTGCAAAACCTCTGGGATGTGACAAGCAATAACACGGGGGAACCTCAGTTGTGAAGGAAGATGGGGCTGGAGAGAAACTGACTGTAGTTCTGCTAACCTTTTCACTGATCACGTTCCCCTATAGAGGACTACGGGCTGCTTCCTGAGAAGCCCCAAATCTTCCCCAGCAAACAAGATGAAGATGAGATGGAAACGGATGAAGAGAAGTCCAAACAAAGTGAGGAGATGGCAGGCGGGTGGCACTGGGCCTAGAAAAACAGGGATTTGTTTTAGAGGTGAACTGAATTAAAGGATCTGGTTGCCCCCAAATTGTGGCGAACACCATGTTGTGTTTTCCTGCAACCCCCGGACCAAGTGAAGGGTGAAAACAGTATCGGTCCCTTTGTGATTCTGCCCAGCAGACTGTTCCATAATCAGATTCCTGCATGGTCCCTGCTTCCACCCCTACATGGGCAAAGCTCTGTGTTTGCACTGCTGTAGGATCCCTTCGCACACTTGCCAAGTAGAAGACTACTGCCAGTGCCCTTCCCCCAGCTTGCTTGCACAGAACTGCCTGCACGGTTCAGCACTCAAATGGAGATCATGGCACTCCTCTTTGCTGCCAATCAGGGGAGCCTAAGAAAGGGGTCGGAAGTAGTAAGGAGGACGAGGATGGTGAGACGGATGAAGACAAATGGACAGAGAAAAGCAAGGAGCGGAAAGGTGGGTGCCTTTTGGATGAAGAAGAGGAAACCTGCACCAGTTCAAGGGAGAAAGCAGGTGGAAAACATTCATATATGCTGTGGATAATTGGACTTTTAAAGAAGTTAACCGAACGTGTTTTGGGAGTTTTCTGTTTGCTGTTGCTATTTGCGATTCAGGCAGAGTGAACTAGCTGCACACTGTTCCCCTGAGTGCAGCACAGCCTCCAGACTTCCTCTGCCTCCCTTTGCTTGGAGTAGGAGGGAGGAACCCTGCCGCTGGCCTGTGTTAAGCGCATTGCCCAGGATCTGCATAGAACCCTATCTATTAATTACCAACATCTTTGGACAGCCCAAAATCAGTGGTTCAAGTTCGATCAACAGAAAGCATACTTTTTATTAATGGTACTTTACACCCTCTCTCTTTTTGGAGGCCTTGTTCGCCATATTAATGTCCTACAATAGACAAAGAAAGCTGTTACTAAGAAAACTTTTACTAGGAGTAAAGCCAAGCCAAACCAATGTTTCTTCTGATCGCCATCCAGACACTTTTGGCCATAGGGCAGTTTTGTTTGGTTAAAAGAGTTAAATTTTGTAGCATAGTTCCCTGACTATGATAACTCCCAATTACACAGCACATTTCTGTGTCTCTCCAGTATTTTGAGGTTATAGTATTTTGGAGCATTTTGGTGGCTATCTTGGATTTGGCTCCCTGGTGACAATTACTCACATGCTGCAACAGTTACTCAGACTCCTTCTTTTGGCACATACTATTGTTCTGCCTAAAAACCGGCCTTCAATTCTTTGCTCCCATGAACTGGTCATCTGTAACATTTTATCTGTATCAGTTCTCTTTGCACATTTCCCCCAGCAATTGCCTTGAAGCCAGACATTCATTCATGCAGAAAGATTTGCAAGGTTAAGGCTGATTATGAGCTGAGACTTGCAAAGAATATCAGGAGCAACAAAAAGGGCTTCTATCAGCATGTAAATGGCAAGAGGAAGGGGAGACAAGTGGTGGGACCGCTTAACAAGGGAGAAGGGGATTTGGTGACTGATGTGAGGGAACAGGCACAGATGCTAAATGGTTATTTTGCTTCTGTGTTCTCCCTAAGGAGGGATGGAAGAGTTCAACCTGGGGGGTGAAGTTGAGGTTATGGATTAGGAGGAAGAGAAGCTCCTCAGGGCACTGGATGTTACAAAGGCACTTGGCCCTGATGGATTATACCCAACAATACTTCAGGAGTTGGTGGGGTTACTCTTGCACCCACTGGCCTCCATTTTTGAGGCCTCATGGAGAATGGGTGAGGTTCTAGAGGACGGGGGTGTGGTGTCAGTAGTCCCAGTTTTCAAAAAGGGTAGTAGAGGGGACATGGGGAATTATAGACCGGTTAGCTTTATGTCCATTCTAGGAAAGACAATGGAAAGACTCATAATAAGAGATCTAGTAACACTAGGTAGGGAAAGGAGATTGGCAGCCATGCAACATGGCTTCTGCAAAAGTAGATCAAGAGAGGTATTACTGCCACTCTGTACAACTCTGGTGTGCACACAACTGGAGTATTGTGTTCAGTTCTGGATCCACATTACCGGAACGATATAGCCAGGTTGGAATTGGTGCAGTGTAGGACTAAAATGATGGTGGCTGGATTGCAGGGGAAGCTGCATGAGGTGAGACTGAGGGAACTGGGTCTTTTCAGCCTGGAGAAGAGGAGAATCCAAGGGGATCTGTTGGCGATATATTGGTATGTTGGGGGGCGGGGTCACACAGAGATGGATAGAGACCAGTTCTCCCCTGCAGAGAAAGCAGGACACATTCCAATGAAGCAAAGCTCAGGGAACCAAGGTTCAATTTGGATGCCAGGAAGTACTTCCTGATAGTTAGGATCCCAAGGATATGGAATGGGCTTCCATGGAAAGTGGTTGAAGCCACATCAGTGAGGGTGTTCAAGGACAGGCTGGACCTGCACATGATAGGCATGTCATGAGTGGAGCCAGCTGGAGCTAGGGGTCAGATTAGATGGCCTGGGATGCCCCTTCTGACTCACTCTGTTTCTATGTTTCTGTTCTGTTCAGCTTTCATGACTCATGGCTGTTGATATACCCTTTTCAGTTTCTTTAATCACTACATACAAACATAGGACACTTCCTTATGCTGAGTCAGTCTATGGATCCATCTAGCTCAGTGCTGTTGACACTGACTGGCAGTGTCTCACCAGGGTTTCCAGAAGGAATTTTACCTGTCTTACCTGCAAAGCAGGTGTTCTACCACGGAGTCACAGCTCCAACCCAATACAAGAAGTAGTAGGAAATTTCATAAATCGGGTGGGACGAATATACCATGATCTGTGCCTAGATCTTGAGAAGCTTGGCAATAAATCAGCAAGGTTTTCTGTGTCCCAATTGTCTAATAGTAGCAACAATTAGAAGGGCTCTCCCTCACCCACAAAAGGACTGTTGAAGCAAAGGAAGCTTGAGTACGAAACTTGGAAGTGCTTTTTGGCTCAGGCTGAGCATGTGTTCAGAGACATTCTCTCTTTAATTTTTACCATACTTCTGCCCTCTTGAGCCACTGTTTTGCACCTAACTTGCCTAGATGGGGGACTTCAGGATTTATTTGTCATCTTTTCTAACCAAATTTTCTGAGCTGCTCCTGGGTCTTCCCATACACATGCTTAAATTGTTGTCTTCTTTTTCCTCTCTTTCCTTTTTCTATCCACTCCTTCATCTTATGCAGGAAAGCCAAAGAAAGGCAAAAAACCAGAAACAGATGAGGATGAATGGACTCCAGAAGAAAGAATAAGTGAGTAAGATCCAATGTGGTGGCTTGGACCGATAAATTGAGAAGGGCTAATGAGTGTTACTCCTTCAGGGATCACTGCCTTGTTGTGGTGAAGGGGCTTGCGTAGCTCAATGAAGCGATGAGCTATGCCGTGCAGGGCCACCCAAGACGGACAGGTCATAGCAGAGAGCTCTGACAAAACATGATCCACTGGAGAAGGAAATGGCAACCCACTCCAGTATCTTTGCCATGAAAACCCCATGGACAGGACCAAAAGGCAAAAAGATATGACGCCGGAAGATGAGCCCCTCAGGTTGGAAGGTGTCCAATGTGCTACTAGTACTAGCCCTCCGCTCTTCCCCAGTAGCATATTGGA